CCAGATGAAAGGAGCCAACGCCAAGCTCCTGAGATGGAGCCTGCTCCTGCAGGATTATGACATGGACGTGGTCCATGTGAAGGGACGTGACAACCTGATAGCGGACGCATTGTCCCGGAGAGGGAGCCCTGAACTTCCCCAGGTCGCTGGGCAGAGTGACCCCGCTCAGTTCAGTCTTGAAGGGGGGAGAGATGTGACGGAGCAGGGAGCGGGGCAGATTTGACCTGGGAATGTTGCAGGGGGATTGCAGTGAGGAGGGGGACTTCCCTTGAAGGAAGCTACCTGAGCTGTAACCTGAGCCAGGAAGCGGGGGTGGGGAGAATGAACACCTTCTGCCCGGGAGACGGAACAAAGGAGAGGAGGAGCTGGGGGGAGGGGGAGAGAGCGGCTGGAGGACTTTTTAGTTTCAGTTTGGTGTTGGGTGGTGGAACGCAGGGAACCCAAGTCTCTGGGGTCTAAGCTCCCTGCCCCCCCCCAGAAGGACTTGATTGAGAGGTCCTGGTTGTCAGGGCCAGCTCTGGCTTTTTTGCCGCCCCAGGCGGAAAAACCTCCCCCCGTTCCCCCAGCGGGGAGCACAGCAGAGGAGGGCGCCGAGCCCGGCTGCGGGCCCCGCTCTCCCTGACCGGCCGGAGCGCTGGGAGGAGGGCAGAGAGCCCGGCCGGGGTCCCGCTCTCCCCGGCGGCAGGAATGCTGGGGGGAGGGCGGCGAGCCCAGTCGCGGCCCCGCTCTCGGGCCTGAGCGCCGCCCCCCTCCAGGTGCCACCCCAAGCACATGCTTGGTGGGCTGGTCCCTGGAGCTGGCCCTGCTGGTTGTACCTACAAGCTCTGCTGTAGACTGCGTTCCTATCGTCCAATAAACCTTTGGTTTTACTGGCTGGCTGAGAATCACGGTGAATCCCAGGAAGAGGAGTGTAGGGCCCTGACTCCCCGACTCTCCGTGACAGGCGCATACTGTCTGCACAATTACATTACAAACTGCAATAAAAATGCTACTTTGGTTGCAAAGTCGAGCCCATGCGACTTTCATCCAGCCCCCTTGTATGCATTATGATACAGCATTTCATTACAGGACCACAGACTGTTTTTCCACAGGCCCCCTGCTTCATTCCATGTGCAGCGTGTGCATCCTCCAATTTGCTCCATTACCCCAGAATGAAGAGACCCCCCTGCTCCGTGTTATCCCCCAAAATCTTTGCGTGCTGTTAGTTTGATAGTTGTTAATAGTTATACATTAGGATACACCTAGGAATCCCCACCCCCTTTTTTTTCTATCATCTATTTCTGAGCCTTCCGGGTTTGCCCTGGCACCAGAACCAGGCTGGGCCAGGAACCCCACACAGCTGTGCATTGTGACCAGCCAGCCACCCAGAACTGGACGTGCAGAGCCACCGCGTCCTCTGCCCAGGGGAGACTCGTTCCCAGCTCGCTGGGCAGTGTGCAAAGCTTTCACAACCCGGACTCATCAGGCCTGTTAGCATCGGCTCCAGGCTCATCTCACTGGCTGTGCCACAGCCTGAACAGCCCTCAACAACATTCGCTCAGCTCTCAACTCCCATCCGGGCTTCAGCACCAGGCACCTCCTGCCGGGGCTAGAGAGCAGGGTCACCACAGACCCCCTCTAGTGCCGGGGCAAATAGCTGGGGCCATCAGCACTCACTCGGAGGGAGTGGGGGGAGGGCCTGTGTCTCCTACCTCCTGCTGCTGCATTTCCAGCACCACCTGCCAATACCACCACCCCCAGCTGCTCCTCTGGCCCCAACCCCCAGCTGGCACCAAGTCTTGCTGTCACACCATCGGCACCAAGCGAGGACCCCTGACGCTCATTGACCCTGTCTTTGGACCTTGGCACCAGTGCCTGGGTGGGGTTGGGGGTTGTGTTAACCAAACTGTGCTGTTATGGGTTGAGGGTAACACCGCCTTACGTTTGGGACGAAGGAAAGGATGTGCCGCAAGAGGCACTCACACACCCTCCTACACACACGTCTTCCACAAGGGTTGTGTAGCTCAGCACCAGGGAGTGTCTGCTCCCAAGTGTGTGACTGGACAGAGAAGCAAACTCCCTTTATCTCAACGGATCAGATATGAACAGCTGACACTTAACTCTTTATTCCCCTCATTTGAAACCACTGGCGTGTGCGTGTGTGTAGTCAGCCCCAGCCTGAACTCAGTATTTATGTAGGGGTTTAAAATAACACATTAATGAGCAGTGAGATGGCAAAACTCCTGGATGACCCAAAATTATGTAGGTTCAAGCCCAGAGAAAACAATGGGCAGCAGGATGGTGAATACAATGCAGTGTAACTAATTTTAAACTAAAAAGAGGACGGTCGAAACAACAGACTGGATTTCTACATAGAGTGCTTCCGTCGACGTGCAAAGGCTGAAATTGTGGAAAAG